CTTATTATATATATATAGTATAGTAGTACTATACTACTACTTACTACTATATATATATATATTATATATATATATATATACTCAGTTTTCTTAGATTATTAATCCTCAAAAGTATGAATCAAAAATCCATCTTTAAGGTGAAATTTAGGAGAAGTATATATACTCAGTTTGGCTTAGATTATTAATCCTCAAAAGTATGAATCAAAAATCCATCTTTAAGGTGAAATTTAGGAGAAGGTCGCAGGTGTACATGTGAGTTGGCTGACTCATAGAAATCCCATCCTCCACTTAATTCAGACCAACCATTTTTATGTTTCAGATTTTCTATTTTTTAAACCATTTGAGGTTTACCATGAATATTAAAGTTAATATCTTATCCTCTAAAGGGGCCTCTTGGAATCAAGCTTGCAATACTCACCACAATTTTTTTTCTTTTTTTAAAAAAAGGGGGGGATCCTAACACTATGAATGGTTGACATCAAATAAAAAACCCAAATTTCAATACTTCTTTCTAATGTTAATTCCCAATTAAATATTTGCTTCCCTTTTTTTAATTTTGTAACCGTTTTCTTGAATATGACAACAGCATAGTACTAGAAAAGCATTTATTTAAAATTATTTGACACTCTCAAAGAAGTAATGTAGAAAACAGTTCTATGCTAATCTATAGTATTATATGAGTAATGATGGTGTCAAGCCTCTACGCATGATACATGAACAGGGAGAAGGGCTCTATACAATTCATGTCACGCGCGAGTTTTTTTCTCCATTCGTTTTTTTATTTTTGACCAATGTTACTTATTAAAATGAAAAATCAAACATTATTTTATTTTCTTAGGGAGCATGATGCATGACTGTTTCTTTCTTTTATGTTTTTGAGTAACTCTGACTTAGGGTTCCCCCTCTCTCTCTCCCTCTCAATTGGGCTCTCAAATTTTAAAATAACAAATGAAGAGAGTGTTTGGGCTCTCGAAATTTAAAATAAGAATGAATACATATAATATTTGGGCTCTCGAGATTTACAATAACTATGATCAAGAGCAGCTTTGGCCACTCACTTTTTCAATAATTTGCCTATTACTTTGGAGCCATAGTGTTTCATACCTCCTCAGGAGTATAGTGTCCATTGACTCTCTATTGTAAAACTCAGTCTAGCAGTAAATTTAGGACCTCAAATTTTGGCAATATAATTTCTTCCATTCATAGACTAACTTCAAGAAAGAAAATTTCCGAATTACACTCTTGCGCTTGAAAAAGATAATGTCTTACGATTGAACGTAGTGCGTAGTTTTGCGATTTCATAGAGGGTGAAATCTAAGTGTTAAAAAACTTAAAAAACTAAAATTTTCTACTTTAGAATTTTAGATTATAAAATCCTCATAAACAAGTCTTGCACTTGAAGGAGATGGACAATATATGCTCCCCCAGGAGCATAGTGTATACACTTTACTTTGGATATTGTTACCCGAAACATATGTCGCAATTAAGGGAAGAGCTTTTTTTTTTTTTTTTTTGAATAAATATACTTACTTTTTGCCTAATTTTTAAAAAAAAACCTATATTTTCATTAACTTCGTCCATATCTTGTTTCTTATTTTTTACGTTTTTTTAACCAAAACAGCCTTCACGGTAGTCATATTGCCATAAAAGTATATGACGCATCATGGTACTGAAAATGCCGTGATGACTATCACAAGTTATAGATTCAAACATAATGTTTGACACGATACTTTAAATACCGTGATGACTCTCACATGTTTTAGGCACTTAAAATGCCATTACTATATTTGATGATGATTGCGATAAAAAAATTACCGTGATGCTAAAGAGCGTCATTACGGTACTTTAAGTACCGTAATGCTAAATACTTTGAGTACCTATTTGAGTGCTAGTTCCTTGTGCCACGGTTCATTTCCCAAGCATTAAATGCAAGATAATGGGTCGATTCATATGTGCGTAAACCCAAGGTTGTAGGCCATATTTTGAGTATTCTGCATTACGGTACTTAAAGTACAGTAATGCACCCTTTAGCATCATGGTAATTTTTTTACTGTAATCATCATCAAATATAATAATGGCATTTTTAAGTGTTGTAAAACATGTGAGAATTATCACAATACTTAAAGTACTATTATGTCTCAAGACATTACGTTTGAATCTATAACTTGTGTTAATCATTACGGTAGTGTAAGTATCGTGATGCACCATGCTTTCATGGTAATACGTCTACTATGAAGGTTATTTTGATAAAAAAATGCAAAAAATGATACAAAAGGGTATGGATGAAGTTAATAAAAGTACATGTTTTTTTTTTAATTATACCATAATTAGAATATATTCCTGAAAATTTCCCTTTTTTGGGTAACTTTTGACTTCTTTTTGGGAACCATAATGGTGGATCACATATAAAGTGAGTAGCCGAGCTTTCTCCCCTTAAAAATGACATGGAAAATTGATCAAATGAGGATAGAGCGCAATACTTTTTTCAAAGGAAAATTATTTCATGCGGGCTGGACCATATTTCTACATATGTG